TCTCTCACACTCTCTCTATTCCTCTCCAACACTCCCCTCTACATCTCTCTATCTGTCACTCACAACGATACTCGCCCCACACTCATTAAGTATAGGTCGACTCGCCCAATGCAAAGAGACAAAGGGTGTTGTCTGTCAACTGTACAGATACAGAAAACTAGACGACATCTAATTGCTTTTTTATGCTCCCAAAATGTACAACGAAAGTTTGACTGACCAGAGACAGATGTAAACCCTTAGCACCACCTGTTTGGTCTCACTGTCCGGCCCTAGTCGGACCCCGCCCTCTTGGTATCTCTATATGGGTCATCTAAAGGATTTGCCATCTATTCCCTAACTTCGAAATTGTCCAAGGATGTACACATACGCGTCAAGTTTTGAAGTTGGAAACTCATGATGACTACCGCAGGTCATTCTAATACAAATGTTTCAGTAAATTGTGTCGGAATCATCGAATTTCTAACGTTAGAACTTGTGGAGGAAGTTTTCGAGACGCTAGATGGCCAAAATCTGTAATAGTTGGGCTTTTCTGTGATTAAATGTTGTCGGCATCGGCTGGTTGCCACGATCTTCAGACACGTTTTTGGGCCGGTCCCGCCGTGCAAACAAAGTTCACCACACACAGACGCCGGTCTTGACTGACATGTTTAACAGGTTCTACAATCTAAAGGCGTGGCAAGAAAACCTGACCGAATGTTTTCCTAGCGACAGATTCAACTTTTACCCAATATTCTAACATAAAAATGAAAGAAAACGTGATTTTGAGGTACAGTACGCATGAGGCACGTTGCGAAACAAGGAAGTTTTCAAGCGCGGGAAAAATACACCGCGTGCGCCACGTTGTTTCCGCTTCTCCCTCTGTTAGTGCACCATATGGCGGCAACAACACGCCCGAAACACGGCATAAGTTCAGTCTTATTTAACCACAAGAAATAAGAAATGATTTGAACTTTAGGTTTCAGGACAAAGCGCTTGATACTAGTGACGTTGAAGGTAGAATCAGAGCATGTTACCTTCAATCCGTTTTTCAGACGACATTTTGGTCAGGCCGGCTTTTCATCCAGCCGCCACAACAACGTAACGCCACGTTTCGCGCCAAATCTCTCAAGCGCGTTGGATACAACAAACGAATCGTTTATGATTTTTAATAATAACTATATCCAAGGATGGATTGAGATGAAGAAAATCTGACTCACTGTAAAAATTCACGCGGTTGTGTTGAGATGTGGTGACGAGTTGAGAGTTTTTGCTCCGTGTGTGCACGCGCCAACACTGCGAGTTGTAAATAGTCACTACAAGAAACGTACTACAATTAAAACTGCCTTTCGTCATTTACGTCACTTCACTCAGCATCCAACCGTAACGGCTCTTACAACTATCGACCCGTAGGTATTCCATGAAAAAGCCATTGATTGGTAGATCAAAATGGACTTTGGTCCAGTCCAAAGTTTCACGTGAACAAAAAGTTAATAATTTTCAACCCAAACCGGCAGTCTACATCTGGCACACTCAGGCTGATGCAATGGCTACAAATGATGCAACCTACAACTCTTAATCTCACCAAATTAATAAAAAAAATGTTATACTAATTGTTTTAGCTTTCAAAACGAGATTATACAAGTTGTGTGTAACGTTTTATTCCGACAAGTATTCCTACAAAGTGACGTCGATTTGTTAATCTAAAAGGTCCTAAACTTTAACCCCGACTTGATAAACTCCATTTCGAGACATTCGCCGTTTCGCCGTTTTAATTCTACGTAGAGCGTAGACGGACCGCTCTAATATTTTTGCGTAGAGCGTATTCGCCGTTTTAATTCTACGTAATGCGTTGTAGCCACTTGGAATTTATCGTAAAGCGTAATCGAGAAGTTTCCGAATTCAACGTAGAGCGTTGTCGGGACCCCCCCTTGCAGGCCCCCATTCGTGTGCGCAAGAGGCTTTTTTCGGGGGCACTGGTTCATGTCAAAAAGTCTGACTTTTTTTTGTTACCATTTGATTTAGTGACTTTCGTTTGTTATAATTCAAAGTATTGAAGTACCAAGCGTTTTACGAAAATACAGTGTTTTTGAAATGTGACATATAAGCGTTAGTGTTTCAGGAATTTGAATACTGTAATTCCTGATGTTTTCACTGTACTGTTATGTTCACTGTTTTCACTTCTTTCACAGTGAACTTATCATTACAGTTAAAAAATAATTCCTGGACTTTCTTTTTCCTGCACCTGTCACCACCGTGAATATATAGTTCCGTGAACATGTCCATTTTTCTCAGACCGTGAACTTTTGCTACCGTGAACATAAAGTGAATAGTAGCTAAAACACATTTGATAAATAAGACAATAACTGAATTTTTGCTTCATTCTTTCTGAGAAATATCACTGATTTAGCCGAAGTTCTCACAATTCGCTGCTAGAAAGAAAGAAGAAGGTCTCCCGTGCCCTTATGCAGAGCGTAGGTGCCCATTTCCATTTCTGTAGCCCTTTGGCGACACACAGTTGTGCAGGGCACTACAGCAGGGGGCTGGCCCGCTGGTAGTGCTGTGTGTTTGACCTCCCATACTCTTTCTCATATATCCTGAGTGCTAGGCAGAGAAAGAAGTGTGTACCATTTTTAAAGTCTTTGGTATGACCCGGCCGGGGTTTGAACTCACGACCTCCCGGTTACAAATTGAGCTATTGCGCTGCGAGGATGTGTGTTTTTGTTTTTGTTTACTTTCTGGCTGAGGTCATTTGGCCACGTCCTGTCAGTATGCGACATTCTATGAATCATTGGTAACAACAACAAACAATGACATGAACAGGTATATAATAGGGCTGCGTATTTTTAGCATCACTTGTCTGGCCAAGAATGCAATCGGGTGGCGTAATGACAGAGTGTTCGGCTCGGAACCAAGAGGTCCAGAGTTCGAATCCTGCCATGCCACCGATCTTGTGTCCTTGGGAAAGGCACTTAACACAAATTTCCTCACTTCGCTCAGGTGAAAATGAGTATTTCCGTTGTCCATTCATGCGTTGGTGGTGGTATGAAAATAAGTTTAAAAAACTTGAGTGTGTCGTCGCCATGTCTTGTAATAAATGTTGGAATAGAAAAAAATGTCGGCACGTCGAATTCTTAACCTTGCTAACAAAGCTAGTTAACGATATCTATTAGTTTTAGCACCAAGAATCTTTGAGAAATTTCTACATCAGACAATGTAATCTCTCTAAGACACACAGGCAAGGCCGAGTTCATTCTTATTTCAAGAGTTTTGTCCTTTCGTTGTATTGTTCACAAACATTACTGACTCGCATTAAGCCATCCAAGCTATCTAATAGTATGTGTTGGTTAAAACTAAAAGCTAACTAATGACAATGCCCCTAGTGTACTTGGTGACAGCGAGTTCCACTCTGCGATAGTTCTAGGAAAGAATGAATTCTTTAACACCTCAATTCTTGGTTGATAACTCTGGTATTTGAAGGCATGGCTATTTCTTGTTCTCTTCTGGGCTGGTATTAGGTACTTAGTAGTTGGGACGTCCACCAGTTTATTAGTTATTTTGTACATCATGCATAGTTTGGACATTTTTCTTCCGTCTATCTGAACTTTCAAGTTAGGAAAACAACTCTCAAGGCTTCGACACTAAGATAACACTTAGTACAGCTAGAATGACCACACACTGGCGATTATATTCTAATCACCAATATTACGCCCTTCAATGAAGTGATTTTATCAAGAATAGAGAAACTTTGCCCAGGTCACTTCATGTCATAGACCAAGGTCTGAACTGTGTCCTTTCTGTCACCCCAAATATCTGTAGTTGTCCTTTGTCCTAGTTAGGAATACGTATCGTCATAATGTTTTGAAGTTGTTTTTATTGTTGTTGTGGGCTTGATCTCTGAAAAATTTGGAATGTGGCTGCGGCTAGCCTCTACCAGGATTCGGGAGGCGGTTGGATCATGGAAAGAGTAAAAATCGGTCAAATAGAGAGAAAGCATGCCAGGGGAGTTGGTATCCTGGAGAGAACAGTTTGCCGCTCCCGAATGTACTCTCTAGCGGACCAACCCCTCTGGCATGTTATCTCTCTATTTGACCGATTTCTACTCTTTCTAGTCGCCTCCCGAAGCCTGGTAGAGGCTAGCTGCGGCAGCATAACGTAGAAAAATACACAAGACAGAGTCACCGGAAAAAGTAGTAACATGTACTTCCAGCATTACAAATTGATCGAACAGGCTAGCGTAGCCTCGAACTTTGGATGGAAATTCTACCAAACACATAAACGATTAGTATGTACAGTTTACATCGATATCGTGAACTAGCTACTTATTAAGTAGATACTAGATACTACAACACAAGCACCAGGGACACCAGTTGTTCAAACTTGATGGCATATATGATCCTTAGAACATAATGTTCGATATTCGAATTCGAACTTGGGACGTCATGCCAAAAAATCAGGAATCGTACCTCAATCCTACCAAGACACATTTAAAAATAACATGTATATTTTTTGTCAAATTCTGATTTTACCGTTAGAAATTACTGCTGATTTCTAGTTGACAGACAATAAGAATGACTAGTTTTATACATCAATATTTACATTGGACGAGGCGTGGTTACAATGTCCAGGGTTACGCATTCGAAAAATGTAAAGTTGTAGAGCTACGAATCAGAACTATGTATTTCTCTCTCTATGTTCATAACACTGTAAACGGCTTAATAAACATAGTCAAACAATGTCGTGGGTCGTGCAGCGTAGCGGCAGAGTGCTCGACTTGGAACCAAGAGGTCCTGGGTTCGAGTCCTGACATGCCCCGATCTTGTGCCCTTGGGAAAGGCACTTAACACGACTTTCCTCACTTCGCTCAGGTGAAAATAAGTACTGTATTGTCCCTTCTGTTGGTGGCGGCATTAATATAAGTTGAAAAAACTTGAGTGCGCCGTCACCACGTCTTGTGATTACATGTTGGAATATAAAAATAAAATAAAAAATATTTAAAAAATAGTCAAGCAGCATTTTCTTACCTGGTGGCGTGTGGACCAACTCTAGAGAATGACTTTGTTTTGGTGTGTGCGCATGGCCAGAAACCGGTACGAACCAGTTTGGCTACCAACACCCCTACTCTTACAAAGATGGTCAATTATTAGCTAATAAAAATAATGGCTTTCTCCGAGGGCTAGAGGGTAAACTAGAGTTCACACTGTACATGACAGTGGCTTTGTATAATGTGTAAGTTTTCAGATAGCCAAGTTAAGCATTATTTTACTGAGTCATAGTATGTGGACATATTGGCTAGTGCTAGTATGAGAACGCTAAAGGTTATAAGCGCTATTGGAAACTTTACAATTATACAACATACACGTATGTAAGAAAATGTCAAAGCAGGACACTTTAAAATACTTAGTGTCGTGCAGGAATAAATGTTTAGTAGAAAAATTTTATAATTATGTTTCCAGATACGTCGATGAAGGTTAGACATCCAGGTAATACAATACGCCAAAAAGCAGTTACTCATTCAACTGGATATGAGTTTAGAAACGGTCAGACGTTTCAGCTAGTATCCACTAGCTTTCGTTAGTGACTGAGAGACCAGAGGAGAAATGCAGGTTTATAAGCACTATGTTTCCAGATGTTTCAAAATGAGAGAAGAAACTGCGATTACAAGTACATGTAGATGATAAGAATTATATAGTATTGTAATGTGTAGACTACTTTTAGCACTTTTAGCATTAGAATATAGCTTTTCAATATTCAATACTCCATTTTTTATATCTTCTAGACCCCTTTTGGTCACGCAATAAAGATTCATTCAATATAAAGTCTTGAATTAAAATTTGGTTGAAGTCTTGGACGCTCCACGTATTTTGGCTATTTATACTTTCCCTGTTCAGTGATAAGAATTGATGATAGTGGTGTAGTGATAAAAGTTTGTCTGTGGGTCCGGTAAGAGTCCAGAGAGAACACAGCACATACACACATGTTATTGTATCCCAGGATCTGGCTTCTTATGTTTACTTGACCTGTAGCACGGAGATAGGTGCTCATCTTTCCCTTTTGGGAAACTTGTGTTGAACTAAGATGATCCGTTTTCCTTCAGCCAAATGATGATCTTTTTTTAAGAGATAGTAGGAGTTATATATATATTAGCTGGGGTTTTTTTATCTTTTTTTCCCTGCGAGTCCCAATTTTTTGGTACCGTGTTTTTGACACGACGACATGGATGTAGATCTTTTCTTTCCTTGCATGTGAGTAATTAAATGTATGATCTTTATAAATTTACCAGATAATAAGAGTTTTATTATTCAACCAGTATTTTTTTTTATTTCAAACAATACATTACGTAGTGGTGACGCACTCAAGCTTATATTCACGTCACCACTAGACATTAAATAAAAATTTCAACACAAGACAAAACAATGTCACATGGGTAACGTACAGGTAGCAAGTAACAGATTTAAGCTATTGAATTATTATAAATTAATACAATACTAAAAATCAGTTATTAAATTCATTTTTCATAAATGTATAGCTGTGTAATAGTAATTATTTGAAAGTTGACTTTACATGAAAGTAAAGGTGATCAGATACAAAATAGTACTATCAAATAAGGTGTTGATATCTTAGAATGGAATGTTCAATTGTAAAGGTTTGCTGATATTTCTGTATTTTGCTAGTACCACAGCTCCATTGCCCTGACTGGTCCCAATGTTTTGGTCCTGTGTTTTGGAACTCTGCCATGTGTGTAGAGCCTTTCTTTCCCGGTTAGTCATTACTACAACCCGGATTTCCACTGTTTGTGTCGTGTGTTGTGGAGTGCCGCCGTGTAACAATGTGTGACCCGGTCACTCAGTCCACAAACAAAGCGCCCAGCCCACCCCCCAGCCATACCACAGTCTCCAGGATACCTGCTATTGTAACCTTTATGTCGAGCTCAAAATAAACAGACGACCTCCTCTGTAACTTCCCCCGCATCGACCACAGTTTAGCCATTTCCTTGTTTGGGTTCCGTCATAACTACTTGAATAGAATAACGTTTACGTGCACGTTTGTAGTCATATTTTACGTAAATGTACACCTTAGACAAACAATAATCCATCGTTGGACTACAGGTCATGGTAGTTATTTATCATACATGTTACAGCATAGAGGGAGGGCCAAAGAATGCATACAAATTTTACGTAATTTGTACGCATTTTAAAGGAATACATATGATCCTTTCCCAGAAACATACGAATTTTACGGAATACATACGATCCTTTCCCAGAAACATACGAATTTCACGGAATACATACCATCCACTTCCAGAAACATACGAATTTTACGGAATACATATGATCCTTTCCCAGATACATACGAATTTTACGGAATACATACGATTCATTCCCAGAAACATACGAATTTTGTGGAATGCATACGATCCATTTCAAGAAACATATTACGAATTTTATGAAATACATACGATTCATTACCAGAAACATACGAATTTTACGGAATACATACGATCCGTTACTCGGAAACATTTACTAATTTAGTAACCTGCGCCCTGATACCAAATTAGTAAGGATCGTATGTTTTCCGAGTAATGGATCGTATGTATTCCGTAAAATTCGTATGTTTCTAGTAATGGATTGTATGTATTTCGTATATTTCGTATGTGTCCTTGTAATAAATCGTATGTATTTCGTAAAATTCGTATGGATTCAGCAAAATTCGTATGAATTCCGTAAAATCCGTATAAATTCTTTGGCACCCATGCACTCTGTCTTTGTTTTAAGATGTGCAGCAAGTCAGAATTACAGTACGACATTTTTTAACTTAGAAAATCAATAAACAAAAATGAAAGGAACGCATCTGACTTAACACAAGGATAAAATAGTTTCTTGCCAACGATAACAGTAAGAGGAATCTGAATTTCTGTTCTTGTTGACATTAAAAATATTTTGTTTCCCTAGCATCTCACATCAGTGACCTCACTTAGGTTAAACCTTCTTGACGTGGTTTGTCAAAATAATCTGCTTTGCAATATTTCCTTAACAACAATAATAAGACAACTATCATCATATGCCTCTTTTACAGTAGTGTTATATAATATGTTGATACACGGCCAGCTATGTTGATGTTTCAAATGTTACAAACTGCTTGAATTTTGCCAAAGTCCAACGCTGAAATCCGGTTCAATTCCATCGTTGTCTGGAACACGGTCCTTTCTCGTCTCGACAGCACAAAAGGGCGTTCGCTTGTGTGTAGGACTTGGCTAAACATTCACCATCAAGTTCCATGTTTCATAACTATGTGACAAGTGAACAATAGGCCCTTTCTCTCAAAGCTGTCAAATTGTATAACAGATATGTTCAGTAGTTAACCTTTTTCCCGCCTACACTGTTGTTGTTGTTCTGATGCTATTTTGTACATCTACTTCGTGGGGGCGTATGGCGTAACGGTGGAGTGTTCGGCTCAGACCCAAGAGGTCCCGGGTTCGAATCCTGCCTTATCACCGATCTTGTGCCCTTGGGAAAGGCACTTTACACGACTTTCCCCACTTCACTCAGGTGTAAATGAGTACATAGCTTCGGTTAGAGACGTCCCTGGGATAGGACGTTAAATGGAGGTCCCGTGTTTGGGAGAGCCACACCCCACACACGTTAAAGAACCCACCACACTTATCAAAAAGAGTAAGGGACCTTCCCGGTGTGAGTGGTTCAAACCTTACAGTTTGGTCTCAGATTTGACATCTTTGAAGAGGTGATAGTCACCTGTTATGTCAATCCTTCCACAAATGTGGTAAATCTTCATACATAAATAAATAAATACAAATAACTTGGTAATTCGTAAACAATTATCATATAATTCAGAGCATTTTCCTCTTCAAGTATGATTCTGAATAATTTAGAAAAAATTCATTGTTTCATTGACGTTGGCACATGTTCAAAACGTCAGAATGGTATGACGTCTGTGCAAATATTGCATAAAGTACATTAGTAAGTAGCTTGTAGCTTTGACTTTTATTGAACAATATCGCCATATACCACGTAATTAAAAACTGTGGCGTATTGTATGACGTGCTTGTACCTGGGAATATTGTTGATAGTATACTCAAGTACATGTAGGCGTGAAAAGGAGTACAATGCTAACAGTGATACTTTAAAATTTGCGTTCGTTTCCGTCCCCTCCCTTTCGATTTTTCCCATGTTGTTTGAATAAGAGTTGATATTTGATTAGATAAAGCAAAACCGACATAACTGTGTTTTACATTACACAGCGTACTTCGCAAAGACATCGGCAACTGTTGTAGATTATATATTTTAATTTATTTCTATTAATTTTAATTTTCTTTTAAATTTTTTTAATTTTGAAAAAAATTACAATTTTTTAAATTTTTTTTACAAAAGTTTCAAATTTTTAAGAATTTTTTTACAAAAAAAAACACAGTGAAATTCAAATGGTGCGTCAACCAAAACAAAATGAAAGGCATCTCTAACTGGTATGAAAAATTATCAATGGACTGTTCGCCGGATATTCGTAGTATTTGACGTCTGTACTACGCTACTAGGCAACCCGGGGCGTGTGTGTGTACATTCTGGGAATACAGAGCTGTATTACTGATAAAGTCACATGCCCTTACGTAATCGGACGCCGACGGTACGTAGCATTTCCGAAGACTGTGAGAATATGACAGATGTTTAAATATTGTGGTCTATTGTTAGCTCGTCACGAGGTGTTAGACGTGCGTATAGCGGGGAGGGACGGCCTTTGATAGCGACGCATTGCGTCAAATTTCCGCTGCGTCATAACGGTATGATTATTAACTTTAGTGCGCAATATTTGGTATAAAGGTATAACAAATGGCATCTACTGTTATATTCGACAAACGTATAACTAGGGCCCCGTTCACAAGGAGACGCTGTAACCGCTTTCGATCCAGATTGATAACACGCTATCTTGAGTGTTTTCATCAAACAACAATGAATGAAGTTTAGCCGAATCGTACTCGGGCACGGTTAGAAAGGAACGTGTGGTCTATTTTTAGCTCGTCACGAGGTGTTAGACGTGCGTAGCCGGCTGGTAGAACGTGTTGGGGCGGCCTTTGATAG